GTGTGTGTGTGTGTGTGTGTGTGTGTGTGTGTGTGTGTATGTATGTATGTATATGTATGTATAAATGAAAGCGTCATATATCTATACCACTGCGATGCATATATGTAATCTGTACTAAATCCCCTGACCATAAACAACCAGAAACATACTGGTACTGTATCCTGGTGCCAATCTTCGATGCCGTTGCAACCAAAGCTTTCACATCCGCCGACAAGCATCCCACATTTCCCTCAACAGCGCTTTGTGTCTGTGTGTCCACTAGGCTATGGCTATCTCCTACATGTGCATGTACAGGGTTATGTGTATGTGTCTGTATATCCACTAGGCTATGCCTATCTCCTACATGTGCATGTACAGGGTTATGTATATGTGTATGTGTATGTGTCTGTATATCCACCAGGCTATGGCTATCCCCTACATGTGCATGTACAAGGTTATGTATATGTGTATGTGTATGTGTATGTGTCTGTATATCCACTAGGCTATGCCTATCTCCTACATGTGCATGTACAGGGTTATGTATATGTGTATGTGTATGTGTATGTGTATGTGTCTGTATATCCACTAGGCTATGCCTATCTCCTACATGTGCATGTACAGGGTTATGTATATGTGTTTGTGTGAGCATTCAGTTGTCTCCTATATATGTATGTACCAGAATCATATATATGTGTATGTGCCTATATATCCACTGGTAGGCTATGCCTATCTCCTATATGCGCATGTACAGATGCATGTATGTGTCCGTGTGTGCACTCAGGCACTGTCCAAAGTATTAGACCGACCTACCTGTATCTCCAAGCACATCCACATTGATACCATTGATACCATTGATATCACTGATACCACTGATATTACTGTATGGCTGTTTGCCACACCATCCTTCTCTCACGCGTGCGTGTATGTCTGTGTCCATGTGGTAATGGTGTGTGCACATGTCCTGCGTGCGAGCGATGTACCTGTGTAAGTGTGTCGGTCAAGATGGGTTCGTCTCTCAGAAGGAGTAGGTAGCGGTGTATATACAGATACGTCTACCCTAAACCCTAAATCCTAAACCCTAAAGCATACAGGCCCTTGACACAGACGCACACACGCTGAAAAGTTGCTTATCACATCATCGCTCCCGCAGGAGCGCGTGCATGTCTGTGTGCATGTGGTAATAAAATGGTTGTGCATGTATCTCGATTGACAAAGTATTTACCAAAATGTTCTAGCAGCTCTGTAATGGTGTATATGGAAGATGTATGAAAATGTCCTGTTTCCTTGGTATATGCCTGTGTGTGTGTATCAAGC